TTCTCAGGCCGTGCTATGGTGGCCTCCCACAAAAAGTGGAGGAAGATGGACATGGATGTTAGCTCAGGGCCAGTCTTCCTCAGCAAAAAGAGGAGGATTGACATGGATGTTAGCTCAGGGCTGATCTTCCTCACAAAAAAGAAAAAAAAAAAACCAAACTATTATATTTTCAAATTTGAGGGAAGAAATATTTCATCAATGTTATTTGAATTTGCATTTTTCAGATTATTGGTGAGTTTGAATAAATATTTCATGTTTGTTGACCACTGGCATATGTTCTTCTGTAAATAGACTGTCTATATCCTTTGCCGGATTTTTTATTGCATTTTTTGTTCATTTATTTTTTGACTTGTTGGAAATTTTACATAATAAGAAGACCCAATGTCTGCCTATGTGTTGCAATTTTTTTTTCCTGAGAGCTATATATTTCTTTTAATTTTGTTATTTTCTCCATGTAAAGAAATTTTTAATTTTTATTCAAATGTATTTTTCTTCTTATATCTTCTGGATTTTGTCTTGCTTGGAAAGATTTCCTTTTTTAACAGGCTGTTTTTAACAAGGTTATTGAGATATAATTTCATACCACAAAATTCACTCTTTATACCTGTAACAGTCAATGATTTTAGTAAATTTATAGATGTGTGCAACTATCACCACAATCCGTTTTAGGACATTTCCATCAGCCCAAAAAGTTCCGTGTTTACAGTTAATCTTCACTCTCATTGCAAGCCATAGGCACCCACTGATTTGCTTTCTGTGTCTATAAAGTTGCCTTTTCTAGATATTTCAAGTAAATGGAATCATATGACATGTAGTCTTTTGTATCTGGCTTCTTTCACTTAGTATAATATTTTTGAAGTTCATGCATTTTGTAAAGTATCATCATTTCCTTTTTATGTTTTTCAGTTGTTCCTCTTTATTGCTGAATGGTATTCCATTGTATGGATATAGTTTGTTTATCCATTCACTAATTGATGAATATTTGGATTGTTTCTAGTTTGGGGCTATTATAGTTAATGCTGCTATGAACATCTGCACACATATATTTGTGAGAACATATGTTTTCATTTCTCTTGGGTAGATTCCAAGGAGAGGAATTGCTGGATCATATGGAAAATGTAGATTTAACTTTTTAGGAAATTGCCCAGGTGTTTTCCAAAGTAGTTGCAACATTATACACTCCCATCAGCAATGCTTCAGTGATTAGAAAGTCTTTTTATCCTCAAACACTTGTAACAGTGATGACGATAGTAATAGAAATAATAACAGCCCCTGTTTTAGTCATTTTAAACTTTCTTTTTATATTTCAATTTTTATTCATCAGGGATCCATTTCATTGAAAGCAATGAGTTTGAGATAAACCTTACCAATGACTTGAAATTCTCTATATGAAACTACCCAACTGTCCAGGGATCTAATTCTGGACTGTTCTACTGGGGTATTTAACCAATAATGAATCAATGCAAAAAAAGTGCTTATTAAAATAGACGTATAACAGGTTTTAGCGTCTTATAAAGCTAGTCACTCCTTATTAGATGTCTTTTTAAAAAAATTTCCCTGGAAGATATATTTTTCCTCATAACATTAAGAATCAGTGTATTAAGTTACAAAAACAAATATCCTCTTGCTTCCCTTTTTGTTTTTTTGGTAATTGGATTTATGGCTGGCATTTAATATCACTGTTAAAAAAAAAAAAAAACAAAGCCTTGGATTGATGCTGCCCATCAAAAATCTGTCATCCTTCATGAGGAAATAATTGAAAATACAATCTAATAGTACCAGATATTATAGTTTCCCTACCCTAAAATCATTCCCCTCTAATTCATCTACCATTTCTTTCTTTCTGAAAAAAGATGATTTTGCTCCTTTTCTTCCCATGTGCATCAGGGGAGGCAGGCCATGTCACAAAGGGTGAATCGTGGTTTGTCTTGAGCATACCATTGTAATCCCATGGTCCCCCTAATGTGTGGGGAAGTGGGTTTACTGCAAACACTGAGAAAAGTTTAGTCACTCCTTATAAAAGCACGTGGAAAGAAACAGTTCTCTTTTCCTGCCTTTAAGATCACTGATGATACCACTGGCCTGATGATTGACCAACTCTGGATATTCCCTACCTTGGGTCTATCTGCTATGTGAGATAATAAGTTAAAGAAAAATAAAGCCAATTAGATGGATTTTCTGTTACTAGTAGCAGAAAGCATCTTCATTGAAATATTCACACCATACACTTTAATTCTCCCTTATAATTTCACACCACTGGTCTCAGATAAAATGAGACAACTTATTTCTTCATCTCAGAGAACAAAGAGAGAATAAAGTTAAGACCCTGGGATCAGAGCTTATCCTAACTGTATGCATATTGCAGATGTTACTATCAGAATATTAAATTCCTATAGGATGGTAACATGTTTCACATGAATAATACCTAATATAATTAAAATATGCATAAAATAAGCTTTGAATTTGCTTGAAAATAAAATAATAGTTGTCTCTGACTGGAGAAATTGTGTTCAAATTACTATTACTTTGAAATAAATTTCCGAATCAATTATCTACTCTTTAGATTTGATTTACAGTTGAAACTGACTTTTCAGATGGAACACAATAGCAGAACACATCATCTTCTTAACCAATTTAGTTACCTGTCTACGAAACCTGTCAAGTCTTTTATATTACTGAAGTCTATGGAATTTAGAACTGTATACTGATGTAAAACTATAGTTCCACAGTGTTTTATGCAAAGGTCAAAAAAGTTTGATTTACTTTTCGAACTTGTTTCCCATCATACACTTTTTGTCAAGTTTGTTTCAATAGTTACAGTTTTATGTATTGCCTTTTTAAACTTTTGATTTAAATTTTTGATTACATAAAATATTTGAATGTTCCTCAAGGTAAAACTATTTATATAATCAGAAAAGCACAGCTTTCATCTTTCTGGCCTTCAACGTATTCTCTCATTTTGCCCTATAGGCAACCATTTTCTAACAATCTTTCCATTGCTCCTATTTACAACTGTAAGTAGATAGATACATATATACATACATACAATGAATGGGTACAGCTATATATTCCTATTCCCCTCTTCTATCTTATTGAATAAAATGTTGTGTACTGTACAAACTCTCCTGTACCTTACTCCAAATGCATTTTGGAGATTATTCCTAACAGAGTATTCTCATTTTTTCTTCCAGCTGCAGAGTATTTCACTGTTGTGATGCACATCGGTGTATTCATAGATCCTCCTTTCTTCCCAGCATTGTCTCTGATTTCTGCTAAGGCAAGATCCATAAAGGATTAGCCTGTGAAAGACAGTAGATTTGTCACATAATCTGGAGGGCCTCAGGAATGCATTTTTCCACTAGAGTTGTGGCTTTGTCCTAATGGCCTTCTGAGACCTATTTATGGGGAAGGATGCAAGCCAAAGAGTCAGAATGCCTTAACCCTAACCCTAACCCTAACCCTAGCCCTAGCCCTAGCCTTAACCCTAACTCTAGCCCTAGCCCTTACCCTAACCCTAGCCCTAACCCTAACCCTAGCCCTAAAAGATTGAAACATTGAAGGGAAAAAGAGGCAAAAGAACATGATTATAAAAATTTTGAAAGCATAACAACTTACAAATTATCTGCATTTCTTATATTTGTAGTCCCCTCTCTGTATCCCATGGTGTGAAGAGACTTCTGTGTTTGTCTTTGAGAATGACAAGATGTAGGAGACCACCATGATATGGCATCATTAAAGGCTTTTTCTTAGCTCAGCTAAATATTCCTAAATACAGAACACAGAAAACTCAAAATAAAACAGAGTATGAAGCAAAGAAAGCTTCCAGATCCACACATGACCAAAATTCAGGAATATAGATAAAAACCATTATTGTATTGTGATGGAATCTTGGCTTTCCTTTTTTTTCGACGTCTTGTCCTTGAAGCTGTATGAAACAGATGATGTTCACTCCATGTTTATTTGAGAAAAACTTTATGAAGAAATGTGGGCAGAAGGTGAGTTCACATGCAAGGGAGGCCATCAGGGTTGAATACAAATGCAACTGGGAAAGAATGACTAGGTACTGCAATCAACATAAGGTAGAGGCTCAGGAAGCCATCAGGGAGGACATTTTCTGCAGGGTCACGGAAGCAGGAGCAAACCAGAACCTAAGAAAGCACTCTTGGCAGAAGAATAAGAGCCAAGCACAAAACCTTTTCATGCTGTGAAGAAGCTGGGACAGAAGGTTCTTCCTTGAGTGACACCATCTTCGCTTCAGCTCAGGAGTCCTGCAGAAGACAGAGGAGAGTGTTGTTTCCAGGTCTAACTCTACAAGGAGGTTCCTTTCCCTTCTCTCACGGCCTTGTTATAAAGCTCTGTGATAAGAAGAAGAAAAAAATTCCTATGTCACCCCGAGCCAATGCTACTTTAGAGTGCAGGCCATTTATTAAGTGGAGAGAAGAAGCTTTACTGCAAACTGTCTGATCAGAATTCAAAGTCTTTCCCATTATTTCTTCTTCTGTCTTTTCACCTCCACCATCTTTTCTAGGAGACCAAACGTATCTCTAAAAGAGAATTAAAGAGCATTACCTGTTGGCTGAAGTCCAGCATGTCCTGGGAAAGAGAAGGGAAGATATACACTTAAAAGATATGGAAGTAAATTGGTACCCAAACACAATGTTGCCAAACCCTGACTCCTCACCTGAGCTTTTTCTAACAACACAACCCATATCACATGATGCCAGGGCAGAGAGGGGAGCAGAAACTGAGAGCATGGGACCCATGAAGTTTCTGTCACACAAATCCCACATAATTTCATCAGCCTTAGTGGCCCTTTCTGCATTTGCCCTAGGATCTCAACCCAAGATCAAATTTCTTATGTTTCAACCATAAGTAACCATGGACCATCGATTTTTGGATTTCCAGGAAATCTGAGGTCGACTAGGTGAAGAAAGGCTTTGTACCAGGCCACTGGTATACAGAGAACAAACTTAAGCAAAGCTACGTTTCTTCCTCCAGAAAAGTCTGTTGAGGTCTCAGCTGCCAGCAAGGTCCTTACCTTTCTGATTCCTAAAGTGGATGAACAGCCCCGCCCCAAGGAAGAGCAGACCCAGAACAAAGCCCCCGATCCCACTCAGCATCTTGCTCTGTGCAGATTCAGACTGTGCCCCTGAGAAAAGAAATGAGTTTTAGTGATTTTTATCCCAAATTCAACTTCTCTAATTGAGACTCTGGGATTGAGAGCTTTGAGAATGGAGGAAGAAGGCTGCCTTGGAAGAGCTACAATAATTGGCCATTTCTGGAAAAGAGATTTAAAAATCATGCTGTGTAGCTACATTGATCAGGCACTGAACTCATTTAAATATCACAGCTTTGGGCCAGCCCCGTGGCTTAGCGGTTGGGTGCGCACACTCCGCTACTGGCGACCTGGGTTCGGACCCCAGGCGCGCACCGACGCACCGCTTGTCCGGCCATGCTGAGGCCACGTCCCACATACAGCGACTAGAAGGATGTGCAACTGTGACATACAACTATCTACTGGGGCTTTGGGGGAAAAAAAGGAGGAGGATTGCCAATAGATGTTAACTCAGAGCCAGTCTTCCTCAGCAAAAAGAGGAGCATTAGCACAGATGTTAGCTCAGGGCTGATCTTCCTCACAAAAAAAAAAAAAAAAAAGAAGTACAAGCCCAGCCCGAGGCAGGGGACTGGTGCCCAGGGCCAAGGGGGAACATGGCCTGTGATATCATGGGAAGGCTCAAAACAGGGACAACTCTTTTCTGTCTGCCAGTCATAATTGCCCCCCCAGGGGGTATAGGTATTTATAGAAACTATCATAGGGCTACCCCTTTTGACTTGTGCTGAAGGAGAGGAGAACATGGAGCAAATGAAAATAATATGGTGTGGGGAGAGAAGAAAACTGACACTCAGGGGTAAGCAAAGTCCCTTCCTTGAGGGGGTGAGGAATTTGAGGTCAAAGAGCTTCTCACTCCATTCCACTGTGAGAGGGCTTGTCAGACTTGGATGCTCCACTTGGCAGGTGTAGACCTCTCCACTCTGAGGGACTGTTTCAAGCATCACCAGGGTCTGGAAAGTCCACTCTCCATTACGGATCAGGCCTGTGGAGACAACCCCAGCCTCCTCTCCCTGGCCATTCCGGAACCATCTGACTTCAACCTGGCCTGGATAGAAACCATTCACAGAGCAGACCAGGAGGTTGTGGTGCTGCAGGGGCTGGGTCTTTGCAGGATACACAGTCACTGTAGGCTCAACTAGGAGAGAAAAGTTAGAGGGAATAAGTGAGGGAGACAGAGTAAGTCTCCTTGGTTAGCTAGCTGCCTTTCTGCCTCCAGTCTCCAGTCCCAGGCTCCAGTCTTGGGCAGGCTTCCCTCAAAGCTGGCCATGTGGCCCAACAGGAGTTAGTGTCATAAGCCTTGAACTGAATCCTTACAGCATGGGCCCATTAGATTTGAGAGATTTTGAGGAAATTTGTAGGATTTTTTTCATATCTTGAAACAGTTATTCATTGTTGAAGTGTTTCAAAATCTTTGCAATGTATATAGCATATTAACAGAAGCGTGATTTCTGGGGCCAGGCTATCTGGGTTCAAATACAGGCTGTGTCTCTTACTGATTGATTCTGGGAGAGTTTTTAAATTCCTCTATGCCTCAGCTCTCTCACCTATAAAGGGGGATAATAATACTAACTTACCTCTTAAGGTTATGTGAGGATTAATGCACCTAAACTATATAAAGCAATAACTGGAATTTAGCCTTCAATATATGTTAGCTATTCAATATCTTTGTTTACTTGGAAAGAAAATATGATTCAAAGCAATGTGGATAAATTGGGGATCAGCTTTGGGTAGATGGAGATAGAGTATGATCCTTGGAATGCTACACTCGCACCTTAGAATACCACAGAAATGGTTCTACCCTGGGAGGCAGGAATAGACAGAGGTGATTCTTAAACTCGATGAGTTGAGTCCCAAGAAAAGCACGAGTCCTGAAGGAGAGGAAAAGGAGCACGGAAAGTCATTCATTTAAAAAATTACACTCAAAAAATTACACTCTTATAATTACACTCAACAGATCAATGCCTCTCCTTTGCAAAACAAGCATATCTATTATTGGAATTGATATGATTTCACAATTGTCTCTCTTTTTAAGCTGACATTTGAGTTCAGGGAAGAGTCTAGGACTCATTAATGTGTGTGCTTAGTGCCTGAGACAATTCCTGACACTACCAGCCTCAATAAATACAATTATTTTTTATTTAAAAAGGAGAAATCTGGAGGAAAATATTTTTACAATACCACAAAATGTTAGATTTAAGATTGATGGTAAATCATTGCTAACAATTTTGCAGTATATTTCATTGAATAAAAATGTTTAAATTTCCAGTATGGAAAGTAATAAATAGAATCAAACTATAAACCACAAACTGGAGAAAATGCTGAATCAAATATCAGTAAAGTGTTAATAATCTTACTGTATAGAAAACCTGGAAAATCACTGAGAAAACACTCGGACCCCAGAGATAATAGACAAAGATAATTCTTAGAGCAGTAACAACAATTAGCCAATAAATGTGTGCAAAATGTTCAAGAAATTTAGAAATCAAAGAACTATACGTTAAAAATTACAGAGATAAATTTTTAGTTATTTAGCAATTGAAAAAAGATCTACCAAAAGCGAATGAGAGGTAAATTGTTACAACTATAAAAAGAAATAATATGTAACTACTTAAATACTATTAGCATTATAAAAATAGTAACATCAGAATGGTATGTAACAAAATTATAATTCAAAAAACTAGTTTCACAATCCAACTATGTAAAGATAGATACACTAAGAAAGAAAAAAAAAGAGAAAATTCAGACCTAAAAGGAGCCTCAGAAAGATCAGAGATGCCTCAGAGTCCCCTCCCTCTCAAAAATTAGTCTGATATCTTTTTCTCAATGGAATGCTTATGCGCACCAACACAGGCACACTCATTTCAGGGGTTTCAGGATTAGGAAAGGGTGGATGCCAAGAATAGTCTGTGGCCAGCCTCCTCACATTCCCCCAAACCTTTCGCATTCCTCCTCTCTCCTCTGAACCTTCACCCCAACCACAGACACAACCTTAAATGTCCCTCCCCGTGTGTCTAACCACTCACCTCAACCAAGGTTTCCTCCCTCTCCAGCCCCCTGTCCTGCCTCTCCCTCCCTCCTCCAGCCCCTCCTCCACAGAGGCCCCCAAGGCCGCCTGAAGCCCCCCTCCTACACCCCACATACCTACTCCCCCTCTCCGTCCTCTCAGAACCCAGGCCCACTCCCCCCACCACACACACATTTTCTCTCATTCCACCTCAGCTCACAGTACACGCCTCACACACACACACTCTCTGCCCCCAAAATCACACACTGAGAAACCACATACTCTTCTCTCCACAACCGCTCTCACAAGGACCCTCCTAACTTGTACTTGCTCACAACCCTACACGCTCACCCCAGACTGTATCTCCCTCTGTCTCTTTCTCTCTCTCTCTCTCACACACACACACACACACACAAACACACACTGTCCCCCGCCCCCTGGCCGCCCACCCGCCGCGCTCACCTCGCCGCTGCACCGCGAAGCTATCAATAGCCCCGTAGTTGTGTCTGCAGTACGTGTCCACCGCGGCCCGCGTCTCCTCCAGGATGTCCTTCTGCCCGTTCCAGTACTCGGCGTCCGGCCGCCCCAGCTCCGTCACCGCCCGGTACTCCCCCACGTCGCTGTCGAAGCGCACGTACTCCTGCCGGTTATAGAAGTATCTGTCCAGGAACCGCACCCGCTCCGTCCCGTTGGAGAAATGGCACTCGTGTTTAACCGTCTCCAGGAAAAGTGCTGCGGACACAGGAATGATCTGGTCACCCGGGCGGGCTCCTGAGAAGAGACTGACAGCGACGCCCACCAATGCGGGGCGCCCAGGCGCCGGTGGGGGCACTAGGACACCCCTGACTGGCTCCACGGGCCCCCCAGCTACCAGCACCCCATGGGTGCATCTTTCATCTGCCCGCGGCCGGGGGAGGCCGGGCCGGGCGGAGGAGACGTTCAGGATCCACAGGGCTTCAGTGCTTGGCTGCAGACCTCCAAGCAGGAGCTGGAGCTGGAGAAGGCTTTGTCCCCATCACCACCTCCTCCCGGAAGCCTCCACCTGAAGGACACTCGCTGCTCCCTCTCCTTATACCACAGCTCTTCGCCTGTTCCTTAAACTCTTCCCACCTCCTTCATTCTGAAAATACTTCATTAGTGCTGACCTTGGGCCAGGTGCCTGCTGTCTCCTGGGAAACCAACGAAGGGAAAAACAGACATCTTCCCCTCCATTCCCAGAGCTTAAAATTTAGCGAAAGTAATGGACATAAAACAACCATACAAGAATTTATACAGGGGGGAGAAATGTCAAAAGAAAAGTATAAGGTCCTAGAACAGAGAAGAACAAGATGATCCAACCTACCTCAGGATGCCAGAGAAGTGGTCTTTGCGAGTGACACTTAGGATGTGACATGAAAAGTTGAGTTGATGTGAGCTAAAGAAGAGTGAGTGTGTCTTTATATGTTTGGGAAAAAACGGAGGGGCATTTCTGGTAAAGGTAACACCATGTGGAGAAGCTCGAAAGATTTGATGAACTTCCTCAAGAAACCAGTTCACTGAAGCAGAGACAGTGAGAGGGAGGAGATAAAAGACTAGACTGAGAAATCAAGTGCAGTCAGCGACTTAAAAGCCTGTAGGTGATGTTAGGATTTTGAATTTACACCAAAAGTAGTGGGAAACTGCTGAAGAGTTTTAAGGAGATTAAAACTGTGATCCTAATTCAGTTCCACAATTCCTTATCTAAATTTCTAAATCCAGAAAGCTCAGAAAAACAGATCTTTTTAAAAACGTTGACGCCAAACTCATTTGGCAAATCTGACCCAATGGGGTAAAGGGTCAGACATGTCTCAGAACTCTTACTGGTCAGTTGGTCACATGTGCTCCTGTAGTTTCAGTATATATAAACATACATATCTACATAATATATGTATACAGTGTCTTTGTATTTAATTGAGCTGAGAAATCTTCAAAAAGAGGTAAAAAATATAACCCTGTGGTTAAAAGTGAGACAAATAAATGGGAACATCTGATATTGTCAATAGGACAGAATGTAGATTACTGAGAAGTTTTGATACATTTTGCTGAAAAGTTGTTATAATCAACATTTATAACTTATAAAGGCAAGTTATTGAAAGTCAACAGAGACGACGATAACCAAGAACTCATGAAATGTTGAAAAACATTGCATAAAGTGAAAAATAAAAAATGAAGATCTAGAGTTTGCATTGATTGAATGGATTCAACAATAAAGAGGTGAATTTTTGCCATTGTCTAGCTTATTATATTTTTTTGTAATTAAATAAGCAAAAGTAAGCCACTAAGAACTGAATTGGAAGATGAGTGTGTATATAAGGGTGAGTCGCTGTTTTTAGAAGCAGCACAGTATAAACCAGTGTTTTCAACCTCAGCACTGTTGACATTTTGGATGAGATAATTCTTTCTTGTGAGAAGCCTGTTCTGTACATTTTAGGATGGCTACCAGCATCCCTAGCCTTTGTCCACTAGATGTCAGAAGAAAATCGCAGTTGTGACAACCAAAAATAGCTCCAGACATTGCCAAATGTCCCCTGGAAGGGTCGGGGGCAAAACTGTCCCTGACTGAGAACCACTGGTGTACACCATCTGAAAAATCTGTGGTGAAAAAGACACTATTAATTATGAAGCAGCTGAGAATTACATTGAAAAATTTGCCAATATTATTTCTAATAAAAACCTTGGTCCTAGGGCTGGCCCAGTATGTATACTGATTAAGTTAGTCTGCTCTGCTTCAGTGGCCTGGGGTTCGCGAGTTCAGAACCCTGGGTGCAGATGCACACACCACTCATCAAGCCATGCTATGGTGGCAGCCCACATATAAAATAGAGGAAGATTGGCACAGATGTTAGTTCAGGAACAATCTTCCTCAAGCAAAAAGAAGAAGATTGGTAACAGATGTTAGCTCAGGGACAATCTTCCTCACCAAAAACAAAAACAAAAACAAAAACAAACCTTGGTCCTGAACAAATTCATTTTGCTGGAAGAATAGTTCTGCACTGGGAAGAGATTCCTAAAAAACATTCATAGTGCCTAATAAAAGAGTGTTAAAAGCTATTATGGATTCTAACCAAGAGGTGACTGTTCTTGGGTATGCTAATGCTTCAGCCTCATCCAAAACAAAGTGCGCAGTGATTGGAAAATCCAAAATCCAGGATGTCTGAAAGGCGTACGTATTTTACTTGTATGTTATTTTTCAAAAAAAGGAAATTTAGATAACCAGATACATATTTTCTAGCTGGTTCAATAACCACGTTGTATCAGTGGCTTACATTCATTACAGGCAGGCTGGGCTGTGAGAACACTGCAAAATGTTATTGTCCCTGTACAATTATTCCACATATTGCACTCCTGAACCTCTTGTAAAAAGTAAAGTTTTAGGTTTTTAACTTCCCCCAGTATGACATCTGTGTTGAAATCTATGACCAAGGAATTTTTTGTCCCAGCAAGAGCAAGTATAAACAATTTTTAAATTCTATTATTGCTGCAATTTACAGAGGCCTACAAATCCATGGTTTTCTTAAAGAAGTCAATTGCTAGTGCTTATTATGAAGCTAATAATTAATATATCAACCTTAACAAATGTTTGGCACAGACTTTGGGCTATATTCATGTTTGCAAATGAGCTAGTAGATGAAGATTTTGAAAACTATCGTGTCATTAATAAAAAGAGAAGCATATCAAATTTCAATATATGTAAAAGCTTATCAGATAAAAATCTAAATAAATCAGAGGATGCTGCCATCAAAAAAATATGAAGCACTGACAATGAGGTCCCTTTTGCACATTCTCTGAGTAATGGAAACGTGGTTGTGGTAACACTGAGAGCACACCCCAACTTGCTCTCTATGCTTCAGCCATTCTTGCCTTCTTTCTGGCCCTTAAACACAGCAAACATCTTCCCACACCTCAGTCTTTTCCCTGTTCCCTCTCCGTGGGACACTTGTCCCTTAGACCTTTCAGATGACTGGCTTCTTCTCATCATTCATGTCTAACTGAATGTCACTTTCCCAGGGAGAGCTCCCCAGCCACTGGAACTGAAGTCAGGTGAATCCATTCTCTCTGTTCTGTAACTCTGATGTATTTTTTTCAGAGCACTTATTGCTCTCTGAAATTTTTTCTTTGTTAAATGTTTATTGGGCTTTTCCCTCTATCATTGTGTAAGTTCCATGATAGTAGAGGACTCTTCTATCTTATTCAAATAGAATTCTCTGAGCCTAAAACAGAGCCCAGGAAATAACAGTTGCTCAGAAAAATATTTGTAGTCAAAATGAATAGACCCAGAGTTCTGGGAGTTGATCACTGTGGGGATCCTGGAAAGCAAGGAGGGGCTCAAGCTCCAACACTCTTTCATTCAAAACCCTCCCACTTTCTGTGAGAAACTCAGATAAACTTCATCTTTCTCCTCCTGCTGAATTGGAAGAAACATTCACAGGTAAGGAAAAGGTGATTTGAAGAAAGAGGAAAAATTTCATTACGTTTCAGTTCATCTAGCGGATCTGTTAGAGTGCTGAGGGTCTGTGTAAACATTGGGGACTTTCAACAATGACATAGCTGGAGAAAGAATAGGAAATAACTGGAAATAGAGGTAACCAAACATGGCTAATTAAGGAAATCAGAGGGCATAATGAATGAACCCATGACATTTGGGACCAAGACCTCAGTAGGCCCATGAGTTTCCTTGACTTGCTTATTGGCTTCTAGCCCTATGGGAGGTAAACAACCTTCACACACTCTTTAAACCTTGCTCATGGTGTATACTTTGAACCATATGAAATTGCTGATGTTTGATTATTTTTGACTTACCAAACCAGAATTTTATATAACTTATCCTATACTAGTTGTACCGTTTCTTGTGGGCTCTGGCCAGAGAAAGGTGAGATATTGGAGAAACTGATAGTATAAAAAAGTTCAAAATAGATTCATAATGAACACTAACCCATGTCAGGTTTTTCAGAAGATGCCTGGAGTTCTTTAAGGCATCAAAGAACTCATCGATTCTCCCAACTATAAAGTCATTCCAAGTTCTAAGGATCCCTGCTTCAGCTCCAGGGCGATTTCCATGGGAGAAATAGAGAGCACTAATCCCAACTTCTGTCAGAGACCCTCCAGGACAGCAACACAGGCCTTATAAACATTGGGGCTCAGGGAAAAGGAAAGGAGATAATGGAAGAGACCCTTGATACATCCTCACATATTAGGGAGAGGAGCCAACATCACAGATCCTGTTGAGGACATAACACAGGATCTTCTAGGAGAGATCTTTCTAATTCCTTTTGACTTCCCATAAAATTTTCAGAGAAATCTTCCTTTTTTCTGGCATAAATCAACATAATAAAGGGAGCTACTGGATAAAGAATTATCTTGACATCATTATTTCTAAATCTTCTCAAGAACCTGAGGGAATGGGATGCAAGGCTGTAGAGATTTTATTAAAGGAGAGATGAGAAGAAATGACCTATATATATGGAGGCTTCTTATGCAGCTCTTGTAGAGACGGCAAGTATCCAGGCTCCTTTTTTTGTGGAAAGAGTTAGCGATCCATACGATAAAGATAAGTGGTCACTGAAGAAAATGTCACAATTTTTATGGGACACGGCCTGGACACAGTGACAAAGCTAATTCCCTTCCTCCCACCAACCCACAATAGCTCACCACCCAAGATGTGCACTTACGTTGGGTTTTCCTGGTCCAAGCGAGGGGAGGGCTCAGCACCATCAATATCACTGTCAGAGCTGCTATCCAGGAGCCTCCAGGGAACCACAGACAGACCATGCTGGAGAACAGGAGAGACAGGGTGCAAGGGAGCAGGCAAGTCTAACTCAGTGAGGACTATGACCCTCTTCCACTCATATCCCAAATAATACCAACCAGGAACCTCATTGTTTTGTTCCTGGATTGGGTAATCTCAGTGTTGAGAACCAATCAGCATCAGAAATGAATAGCATCATCAATTGCTGGTCAGAGATTCAGTTTGAAGGTCCTCTTCTGAAACTTAGATTTCCTTCATGAGAAGGACTGTTTTAACTTGGTACTTTAAAAGTTTGGTCCAGTTGTATCTGAAAAATTTTAATTGAGTTCCTATTGCAAGCCAGCTCTGTGCTGGTCAGTGATGTTACATAAGTTTGAGCCTTTTAGGAGCATTCATCTCTCTCACTTGAAGACAGAGCTATTTTGATAAATGTGTGTTTGTGTGTCTAGGAGTTGAGGGGGTGGAGGGAAGATGATTGCAAGTTAAGAGATCTTGAATCTGATCCTTATTGCTCCATAACACAGTGTTGTCGATTTGGGAAAATTACTTAGCTTCTCATAGTTGAAATGAAGGCACTGCGATCTTTCAGGTATTTCAATACTGGAAAATGCTGTGATTCTGTGGACAGCTCAAGGAGCAGCCTCCCCTGGTAACTGATGATATGACAGAATTATAGCTGTTGATTGGAGAGTGTAAAGTACCTCCTTAAAGATAGGTATGTCCCTGATAAACTAAAGGAAATTGAAAGTTAGTCAATAACTAACTAAACTGGAGTGAAAAGGCTTTTCAAATTTGTCTCCTGATGCTGTCATTGAGTTTAATGGCACCTCCAGAATACACATAGAGAAAGAGAATTAGAGAAGGTGATCTATGTAGAATGAAGGGTCTTGAAAGTACCTTTATATTGCACTTAACCTAACAGTGTGAAAAGGCTAACTGTCCCAATCAATCTATGCAGGGGGCTGAGAGATCCATAAAGGACTCAAAGTCAGCCTTTGGCGCAACAACTCTGCTTTAGAATAATTAATGCTTTATTTGAAAAAGTGTTCAGTTTCTTACTCCCGGTCTCTGTTATGATTTCCTTATTTTCTTGGGGGTATGTCCCTTTATTCATCTTCTCTTGCTTTATCCTAAGGAAAGATATAAGAAGACATTTCTAATGAATTCATTATAGAGTGTTCAGGAAATAGAACACTATGGAAAAGCTATGAATTACATTCTTTGATGTAATCATATAATTTTAAACCTATAATTCTACTTTTAGATAATTGTTACACATTATATTAATATAAATGTAATATCTCAGATTCTGAATGGACTTTAAAGGAAACTCTGTATCCAAAGTTCTGCATTAATTCACACACCACCATAGTTCTGATAAGCAGTTGTTCTTTATGTCCCTAACATTTCCAGTGACAGAATATTCACCATACTGAATAAAAACAACTAAAATTTATGGGGCAATTTTTGAGCATTTTAGTTTGTAACTAGAATTATATAAGGGCTTTTTATACGTCATATTTTTATGCAATTCTCACATCATCTCAGTGATTTTAGTACTCTTCCATCCCTGCAGATGGAGAGGAAGAATGGCGGAGGTTAAACAACTTTTGCAAAGATACAAGGCTGGTAAATGCTACACTACAGATGGGGCCAAGATATATGTGATTCCAAACCTTACAAGCTCAACCATTATATCTTACTGCCTCACATTCAATTTCTAAAAAGAATAGTGTCCTTATACTAAAACTGCTTTTATCACTTTAATTCATGGATATGCGTATCAAGAAGACTACTCCTTTTAATGATTGACAGCATTTTATATAAGAGCTACTATGTAGCAATTCTAGTTCCTCCAAAAGATTCCCCTCATTACCACTGTACCGTCTTCTGGAAATGAAAAATTTGCATTTATCTTATGTAATGACACCCATAGCTCCCACACAACTCTCCTTCTTATTAAAGATAACAGTGGCCTCCAAATTCCTAAATCCAATCTATTACTCTCAATCATTATTTCAGATTTCTCAGCAAAATGTAGTGCAAGTTTGAACATTGCAGAATAGAATAGAAATAGTAAATCATTTACTGTAGCAAAATATATTTCTGTTAATGTGAAAGTTCAAAATTTCTTGGAGAAGTTGAGTAGAAGTCACTATTGTTAGTAGATTTGAGAAGAAACTATGATGTCCCTAGATCCCGACGATAATTCAGTCCTATTGGATGTTGTGCATTTGCAACCAGGAGAATATCACGTTTAATCTGACAAACAGAAAATCATAATTTACTCAGACTTGACTAGCTGTAACATGTGACAATCTGGGAAAGCCAAGGTAAGGTTCATCCTTATAGATAAACAAGTTTCTACTCTGAAAAAGTAAACTTACTAGTAAGTATTCTCCCCCAGGGGGAGAATGAGCTACATCCTTCGTCTTGACAGCTCTTCCTACATGGTGCACCTGTCAAACAAACCAACTCTTTCAATATTGTAGAGCAATTTTGAGAACACTGGAGCTCTCACTAATTATTGTTAGCATCCGTATTTTGGTCATATGTTCATTCCATAGGTTACACACATAAGATAAAGGAACAAAACCTGGTGCTATTACACATCTATCTAGAGATGCTAAAAATGATCTGAGTGCAAAAGATACACTGTCAGTCTCTATAGTTCAGTATTTGAGACCTGACCTTAGAGAAAAAGTTTTCAGAGAAATCTCATCAGTTGTTAAAATAAGTTAACAGGGGCCAATTAATAAAAAAAAAGAAACCTAAACTATGACTACGGTATTAACCAGAGGAAAAGTGTCTTCTAATAAGTACAACAGAAGATAAATAGGACTATTAGGAACTTTAAGCTTGTCCAGAAGTGAGGAATCCTTTTTGCTTTTACAATTCCTAAGCTATGGAAAACACAAAAGCATAACAAGAATCGGTCCTATAGGCAATTGGTTCTGCTGTCTAGGCAAAATACATTGCAGCTGTTTTATTTTCCTTCCAGAACAGAAGTTAAACACTAAATTCTTTTAACTGTAAACATATCCTTCTGTGCTATTGCTGTTATTAATTGCAATATGGTTAATCTTGACCATAGTCTTTTTATTTATGGTTTTATAGCCATGTGGCTTTAGACCATCAGAAACAAACTCCTTGTTGTGCTCTATATGGACAATTCACTGGAGTGTTTACCTAGATAGGCTTCTATGAGTGCCTGTTGTTGCCCTCTCTATAGTTAAAGACAGAGTCACTACCATTAAAGATTTAAACTGTTAAGTGAGTTACAAAATTCTCCATAGGTTTAAGAATGCTCAAGAAGGCCATGACATGTTGGGAGACATTTGTGGCATGCAGGAATCTCTGATACACTTCTGGCAGATCACTGTTATAATATGAAAAGTACTAACACTAAATCACATTTAACAATGTTGGCTCAGGCTCCATCTCTCTCTTTCTCTCTCTCTCTCTAATGAGTAAATAATATAATATAATATGTGAATTCTTAGAGTCAGTCCCACTAAAATCCTGAAACAGGAATGTATGCAAGCTATTACCAACAGTGTTAAGTGTTGCACTGATAATTCTAGCTGATGAGAGATAGTTGGAACAAAAGAGTAAGAAAATACCAAAAACTCATAAACTTTCCTTTATACTAGAGTAAACTTTGAGCAATAATTTTAATGGAGGATCCTCAAAAAGTTAAAAATAGAGCTATCATATGGTCTCCAGCAATTCCACTCCTGGGTATTTAACCACAGGAAATGAAAACACTAACTCAAAAAGATATATGCACCCCCATGTTCATTGCAGCATTATTTGTAATAGCCAAGATATGGAAACAACCTAAGTGTCCATTGACAGATGAATGAATAAGGAAAATGTGGTATATATACTTACATAATGGAATATTATTCAGCCATAAAAAATATTGAAACCTTGCCATTTGTGACAACATGGATGGATCTTGAGGGCATTATGCTAGTGAAATAAGTCAGACAGAGAAAAAGACATACTGTATGATCTCATTTATACGTGGAATCTAAAAAAAGGAAAAAAAAGTTCATAGACACAGAGAACAGATTAATGGTTGCCAGAGGCAGGGGGTGGGAGATGGGCAATACGGGTGAAGGGTGGTCAAAAGCTACAAACTTCTAGTTATAAAATAAATGTCATTGGGATGTAATGGAAAGCATGGTTAATATAGTTAATAATACTGTTTTGCATATTTGAAAGTTGCTAAAAGAGTAAATCTTAAAAGTTCTCATCACAAGAAAAAAAATTCTGTAACTATGAAAAAAATTCAATAATTTTAATATAAATAAACTATATCCAAATAACACTGTAATAGGAAAAATTCCAAATTATAAGAAGAAATTCTACTACTTTATTAAACAAAGATGTGTATAATTCCAAACAAGGAAATCAAACAGGAACTCTCAGGCATTCCTTCTGGGAATCACTCTGTCAATGTATATCTGAAAATGTTTAAAAATATTCTTGTTCAAGATGGTGGCCTGGGATCACACACGGGACTCTTTTTTTCCTCTTAAGATTTAATTTTTATACCAAGAATCCATTTAAAAGGAGATTTAATAAAGTCCTGTAAAGAAAGAATATCATCTGTGGTGTGGTCGGAGGCAGGGTGACTGCAGGGCTCATCACTGATGAAAATTTCAAAAGTTCTTAAAAAGCAAGCAGTGGAAGGCAATGCTCAGATGTATGAGAGGATGAAGATAAACCCTCAAATAACTTCTAGAGGCATAGACGAGGTGAGACGTATACCAAAAGCAGAAATGGAGGCTCAAGTGTCAAAATTGAGTTTTTGCTGACAATGTATCTGTTCACCAGCTGTGTCCATCAACACTCCTCTCACTGCCCCCACCCAAATGCAGGTTGTTATCAAATAGAGAGGTGGGGGTTGATGAGTGGCAGCAACCTGACATTTATACCTAAGTATATATAAAAAAATAAATATATATAAATACATAAATTCATAATAACATAAATACATAGAAAGTAAAACAGCATTTTTTAAAAATGAAAGGCCTAGAGAACTGGGATATTTTTGTGAATATTGGAGCAGATAAAGAAGGTAAGTGTAGAAGAAGGAGGGGAAACATTCTTTGAGTACAAATGTTGTGGAGAAGGAGTGGGACCTGGGGGAAAATGCTGAGCAGGTGTCCTGTGATAAAGAGCATGGTTCATGGAAACTAGCACATGTGAATCGTGAAAGGACAATAAGGTATGGAAAATGAATCAAGATGGCGCTCTGGGTCAGGGTTACTGAAGTCTGGTGAAAAAATGAAGTAATACCTCAGTAGCAACATAGTATAGGAGTAGCGAATACTGAGAAAATATTGGGACTAAGTAACTGACTTTCACAGGATGTTCTAGGAAAGCTCTTGACCAGGGCCCCAAAATAAACACACAACTAATGCTAGCCTCTTTTCACTGCATGGATTCCAGCATTTGGTACTGGGAAAATGAGGAAATGAGACATGAATCTCAACAGGGTCTGAAATAGATAGTTCTATGAAATATCAAGATCCAGTTTTGACAAGACTTTTTGTGGATATATTGAGGAGTGGGGGAAAGCAGAAATAAAGGATATCTAGAAGAACCAAACAGCAGCATCCAGAAAATCTTTTGTGATTGATGATTGAATTATGAAATCAGGAGCAGTGGGTATCATCTGGGACATAATCCTGGGAATGGTTAACCCTTGGTTACCAGTCAGTTCATCCTTCCATTTTCTAAGAAGAAATAGTTATCTATTTCTACGTGGAAGAAATTGTTGGAGCCACACTGGAGCCTCATAGGGTGGCAGCAGTAACCAGTAATTTGGTGAAAAGAGAATTTTGTGGAAGAGATTATCCCTCTTTTACATATTTCAAAATCTAATATCCTCACAGTCAGAAAAATATTCTCTCTATCTATCCCTCATATCTTTTTGTTGCAATGATGTTAACCATTCACCATTCTGTAAATTTTAGCTGAGGGTCTATCTCATGTATATGTACATACATATACAATCTGGCTGGGGATAATGAATGGCCAAAAAGTTTACTGAATGCTTCCTATGTGTGCAGAATTCTTCTAATGCTGGGGATACAAAGATATATGTGATTTAGATCCTACTTTTAAGAAAACTAGAAGCCACAGCAAAGATAGACATATAAAACTAATATAAAATAGCATGACAAGATCTACAATAGACGCATCTATAAAAAATAATCAAAACACAAATTGGTGACATTACTTTTCAAGATGAAACAAAATAGTTAAAATTAAGTAGAAAATTATAATTTACAGCACAAGAGAAGTATTTGTATAGATGCGAGTTCTAGAGGAAGTGAGACTTAGAACATATAGGAAGGGGTTATGTTTCAGGTTGGTTAGAGACTATCTGGGGACCAGGAACAATAGTGAAAAACATGTGTTCATGGGAGGGAATGGTCAGGAGGTGGTGGATAGTGAGGAGTTCTGTTTTACAGGAATTGAAATTCCTCCTTAAGTAATGCTGGGAGATCAGAGTGGATGTGCAGAGTTGAACTATGCTAGGAAAGGCTTTGAAAAATTGGTAAAGAAGTTATATCTTTTAGAAAGACAGGAATAGGAGCAGAAAAAATATTAACTAGGAAAATCTTAAGCAATATGCGGTTAGTTATGAGGGATTGGGCATAGAGATTAGTGTGGTGACAATTAAAATAGCCCTATAGAAATAGATGATAGGAATACCATGTATCCTTTTGGATTTCCAGACATGCATTAAAAACTGGTATTTGTTGAATAAGGAAAAAATATGAGGTCTTTCAAAGGGAATGTATTTTCTTTCCTTTTGGAGATAACACCCAAATTATCAGTCTTCATATTGGTATAGGTGTTGGCCTCTGCGTGAGACACGTTGGAGAAGAGAGAGAGATTTGCTGGAAATCCCCGTCCTTTCTCAGATGACTTTTTCTTTCGTTTTTTTTTTTTTATAACCAATGGGGATAAAGAGTGAGGCAGCATCACTTATCTCCAGCAGACACATCTGACAAGCAGTCTTATTTAAGGTCTTAGGTAGAAGACAGGGGAGGACAGGGAGAATAGTTATCTATTTCTACGTAGAAGAAATTGTTGGAGCCACACTGGAGCCTCGCAGGGTGGCAGCAGTAACCAGTAATTTGGTGAAAAGAGAATTTTGTGGAAGAGATTATTCCTCCTTCACATATTTCAAAATCTAATATCCTCATAGTCAGAAAAATATTCTCAATATCTATCCCTCGTATCTTTTTGCTGTGATGATGTTAACCATTCACCATTCCATAAATTTTAGCTGAGGACCCATCTCATGTATATGTGCATATATATGTACATATAGTTGTGGAAGTGGTGATTTGAATTTCACAGTTATACTCCACTCTTCTGGATGGATGACAAAGTTAGATATTGATACGAAAGGCTGAAAATTTCCTTTAGTGGAACGAATTATGACACAATTAGGTGGTTAGCGAGGAAAGAGTATTTGCGGGGTAAGGTAAAACAGGGAGTGAGGATTGGAGGAGCTGGGCATTTAGAATGATACAGACATGATGCCTAGTTTTTCATGCCTTTGTGAGAAGTTCCAGGCTATGATTAAAAAGTACAAATAAAAAGCTATGATCCTGGTATCTCCCTGCTATTCCTGTCATAGAAGAGATGGGGACTGTGAAAGACATCTATTATCCCAACTCTGGTTGCACAGACAAATGAAAGGGAAATCAAATAACGAATTATCATTTATTTTCTACCAGGCATGAGTTATGTACTTCCAGATAATTTATTTAATTTTCATCATAGCCTCTGCAATGGCTGTGTGTATCACACTATATTTTCAGTTAACTGCTGCATCCCCAGCCCATTGAAAAATGCTGATCACTTAGTAGTACTCAATAAATATTGACTATTAGGATCTGATCAGGAAATTAAATATCTTACATTTTTAACATTTTATAGTGAAATAGAATACACATATAAAAATCACATAAAGCATAATTGTACAACTTATTAGATTATTATAATGCCAATATCCCTGGAACTACCATCCATATCAAGAAACAGAATATTTGGCCAACACCCCATAAACCCATAATGTGCCTCTTCCTATCCACACTCATCTCCCTTCCCACCAAGGTAACTCACTATCCCGACTTCTATGGCAATCACTAATTGTTTTCAATTGAGCAGCCAGGAAAGAATGGTCTTGTCAACTAATGCCGCTCTATCAGTTAGATATCCTTATTAAAAAAAAATAAGAGAAATCTGACACCCATCTCACATCATACACAAAATTATTTCCAGTTGAATTGTATTTCTATATGTAAAAAGCAATGCAATAAAACCTTCACATGATAATATTAGAGAATATCTTTATAACCTTGAGGTAGAAAAAGATTTTTAAAATAGGATACAAAATTTACTAGTCATAAAGTAAAAGATTAACTGGTAGTCACAAGTATAACATTTAAATAAGGACTGTAAGAAATTATTAGGCAAGACTAATGAGTGTCATGGATGTACTAGGAAAACTCCTAATAAGGACCTTCAACGAACATATTGCACAGATGCTAGAAGCCGCTCACGAGCTGGGGTCCAGTGTTTGTGGTTAGGAAAAAGAGAAATAACAATGACAGAAGAGCACATATACCTTCAGATACTTTGGAAGTCACTTAAGGGAAAGGGTGCAGTTAAATCTGGGAAACAAGATGACCTTTAGGAAGGCCATGAACTGAATTGTGCAGATACAAAGAGGGGAAGAAAGAGTGGCATAGTAGAGGTTACCTCCCTAATCATCACTTCCAAAGTCAGAAAAGGAAACTCTTCCTTAATGTCCATCTTAATTTCCTCTTGATGCGATAATATCAGCTAAACAGAAAATTTTACCTGATCACCTACGAATGTCAAGCATTATGCTAACTGGTATATGGACTATAGAAGTGTGGAGTATATCTGTTAAATTCAAAGAGCAAACACTTATTGAACACTTCCTATGTGGCAAAGAGTGTGCTGGGGCTAGAAGTACCAAGATGAAGATCTCAGGAAGATCAATATCTACCAGGAGAGAAAATACCCGTACAGCATAAAACCATGAGTCAGAAGGTTTATGTTCTTTGTGTGCCATTCTCTCCTAAGTTCCTAGAGAAACAGCTGGCTCAGAGTAGCTAATCATTAATAGTTGTTGAATTGATGAACAATATATTAAGGATAAATATAGGCATTATAAATTACAGTGAATATACAAATGAGTATCATTTAAAAATAACAAGATTTAAAAATAATAGAAAAAGGGTATATTCAGATAGGTTGGAGTATTTAAAGGAAATTTGAAAATGTAGTTCATTTGCAGAAGTGAGACTTGAAGCAGAGAAGGAAGAGGATATGATTCAGAAGAATAGCAGGGGAAAAAGAACAATCATGAACCACATGAACAAGAGCAGTATTGCATAGGGGTTAGGCGTAATGGTGGGTAGAGGGGTGAATTAATTTAAGAAGAAGTCCTGATTGACTAGAATGAACATCCAGGTTAAAGAACAGTATGAGATAAGAGTAGATATGAATAGAAGACCTGTTGTATGAAAGACTTTGGAAGCTGGGCGGAGTAGTTACTTCTTTAGGAAGGTGATGAACTGAAGTGTACAAATGCAAAGCAGCAAAATCAACTGTTGGTAACCCAGGTGCCATATAGGTATAGGAAGAGCATCAAGACTAGGGAGGTGACAGGGAGACTAGAGGGCTGGTATTAGTGAACGTCCTGTCTTTACAAACTTTAATGAGGATATTGGATAAGTAAGAAGAGAAAATGTAGAGCTTTTTAGAACTGTCTCTTTTCTTCTTTCAGGTGCAGCGTCCAAAGAGTCAGTCCTCCAACCCCAGGTTGCTTCTCTATCCTGGGCCTTAGACTCTTTCTTTTAGAATAAATCAGGCCAATTTGCTGGAAAAAGGCACTTTATGAAAATTCCCATTTCTTATCAATTTCCTTCCTATAAAACCAATGAGTGAAGTAACATTACTTGTCTCCACCAAATAATGCTACTGAAAAGATCCTAACATTAGTCTGGTTTCAAGATCTTGTGAGAAAGTGTAGGAGGGGCAGGTTATAAGTTATGTGGTGAGAAGAAGGCCTAATACCTGGAGTTGGTGGGAAGAAACAGGATATGGCTATA